AAAATAAGAAATCAGGAAGGGGGCAAACACTTTTTCACACAACTGTAGATAGATAGATCGATAGATAGATAGATATTCGATCCAAAATATAGATTTTGAGCAAAGTGTAATTAAAAACTAATAAAACAAGATGTAGTACATTTTTGGTTTTACATGAGTTTGAGTTTTCTAAGGCAAACTTTTCCAAATTCATGCCATAATTGTTTGATGGAATAAATGGTGAAAGATTTCCATATGTGCAACTGGCGGGCGTTCACATCGATGCAGAGTTGGTCATGCGAGTATTAAAAATACTGTGCATTGACAATATACATTAGAACCATTTCATTTGGGTGTATTGACATTGAAGTATGGACTTTGGCTGACATCGGGTGTCCGTATGTTCTGGGATATGGATATAAAAAGGACCTCTCAGAAAAACCCTAGTTTTATATTCGTAATGAAGACATGAAAGTTGACATGAACGCTGTTTGGACTCCCCCAATATAATATAATAAAAAATAATCAATATTGTTAAACATTTATTTTACTCATATCAGTATTGCCCAGCACCACTGCACATGCAAATATTTGTGAGCCATATAATTCCAAACTTCACAAGCTACCGAGCAGTATGTAAAGTAACTAAATTACCTCCACATTTACCAGCTGCTACATTAAAAAAAAGTTAATAATTATACTCAAATACTACATTACTCTGAAATGGGTAATTTGGTATTATGGCCATTTTTACTATAAGTATATTTGGATGTTAATACTTTTGTACATTTACTTGAATAACATTTTGAATGCAAGACTTATAACAAAGTATTTCTACACTGTGGTGTAACTACTTTCTGTGGAGGATCTGAGTACTTCTTCCCACCTCTGTTTAATGACACTAATAACTGCACAGTGTGGAGTCAAAGAGGTGAAAGAGCAATAATACAGTAAAAAAAACTAAAAGTAGGTGTAACAGACTTAAAAAAGTACTTTATTATTTCCTATTTTCGATTTGTAATATTTGAATTTTGTTTGTCATTTAACGATTATGTTGAGTATGTGTGAATTTTTATTTTAATGAGCTATTTTTATTTAGCGTTTTATTTTGTTAATGCTTCCTGCGGAAGCGGCGTCTCACCTCTTCTGTACCTCCTGAGCTCCCGTAGTCCAGACTTCCCCTCACAATGGTGTTTCGTACTGTTGAGGGCAAGTTGTGTGGAAGAATGTTGTTGCACTGTTTTGTTGTTTTCTTCGGGAATGGAACTGTTTACGCTACGTAATTTAGTAACTGCTAAGGCGATGACATTATCAAGCTGTTAAGTGCCTTTTTGACTGTTGAAAATATAAGAGCGGATGTACAGAGAGAGTGAGACCAGGAAGCAACTAATGTGTGTAATGTTGTCTTCTGCAGCGAATAAATGCTGGAAAACTACCCTCTGAGTCGTCTCCTTCAATGCCCATTCCAAGTCTGTTACATATGCACAACCATATATAGGGTTAACTGTCATATATTTACATTAGATGTGGCGATTTTAACAAAGCATGTCAATATCCATGCGGTGGTAAAGATGCAAAAAAACCTGATCCTGCGCATGCGCAGTAGTACGGGCAAGTGTTTACCGAACCGATGGCTACATTTAAAGTTTACGCTACTTTCCTTAATACTGTCTTTATAAGGAATGTAGTTCCCTTCGTATAAAGAAGGCAGTACCGCAGACGTTACCGCGAGATAACCAGAACACCAAATAAAATGGCAAATATGCGTTTTGGTTTGTTACATAGAAGTTACACCATTCTTTCTAAAGAAGCTAACGTACAAAAGCTAGCTTACCGGAGACTTTCATGGTGTCGGTCCGGCCGGGAAGTGCCGTCTCTGAAGTCGGCATCTGGGCTTTGGAGCCCATCTCTCCCATGCTACGGTTGACAAAATGACGCCAAACTAGACGGAGCCTGGAGGAGGATACCATTGACCCGGCAGCAGCACGGACACTCCCCTGCTTCACACAGTTAGATAAGCTACACAACAGCGATCTTGCCTAAGGCTTATGTAACGGCAAGGGGCTCATGTGTTACTCAACAATGACCATACAAAAAACGGCAAGCCTAAATGTATCATATTCGCACTTAAAATAGGATGTAAACGTTTGTCTCTCAAGACCAAGTCAGATTTGTTACCCCACAAGCACGGACTATAAACAGTAATTATTTGATGAAATTCTTAACTTCTTGCTTTTTTTCTTCTTGTTTTAACTATCTAATTACAACACGTGTGCGCCGAATTCACCAGACGACTTAGTCATTTGATCAGTTAGTTGATGCTGCACATTGGTTATGTGTAGCGTTTCCAATCAGTAGAAGAACACTAAATTGGTAGAATTATGAATGGAGTTCAGCATTGTTGCAAATCACTCATAGAATGTGCTGCAAAAATAATATCATAGACATTTTCCAACGGTATTACAGAAAACACAGGCTTGTGAGGTTTATTTCGGTGAAGATGTCCCTCGTGACATTGGTTGTACTTGTGGCTGTTTTTAATTGGACTGCTTATTTAATTGAGACAGGTGTTTTTGCTTCTGGCCTCACTATCTGCACCTTCTCCCCCCCTGCTCCACTCTGTTGGTGTCAATTTTACAGTTTTATTAAGCTTAATACTAAATGACAATTACATGACTGTTTGTTATTTTTAGTGGTAGGTTCATGTGCTGACAAGAAAGTCTGCTATGTGGACATGCAGGTTATTTTTACTTCCTTGAAAAATAAACAAAGTGTTTTGGGTATGGGAGAAAGTATGAAAATCATATTAATAGGAGTTCTTAGAACCAAAGATTCACCTTTTTATTGTGGACTATCAGTTAGAGGCCACTATTCTCTGGCCTATGTAAATGCATTGAGTATTATTTTTGATATACAAGCATAACTTTTACACACAAAGGCTATTGCACAGTGGTGCAAAGTGGTTTGAACTGTACACACACACGGCAACATGGAAAGGTGGGGCTGTTGTGTCTTAACTTGGGAATTTATCATCGTGTTTGATGCAATCGACACCGCGTTTCTCCTGTTTCCTTCTTCCTTGTGATGATGTTTCATAAAAGTCCCTACACATCCGTATAGATACCCATAACCATGATTATCAAACAACTCAGGTAACTGTTACAAATCTTAACATTATTCACGGTGCTTAGATTATTAATGTAGATGTAAATGCAGCAGAAATAAAGCTTAAATCAGGGAATTTCAAATTGTCACACGGATATTAAAACCAAAACGTCACATGAAACATATAGCAGTAATGTATAAATGTAGAGGGGTGTCACGAAAATAAACATTGTAAACATGAGCATCAGTAAAATATGCTGAGTAGAATTATAAAACATGAATAAGCATGGACTGTTGATCAAATATACAAACAGCATAAAAATGAAACATGTGTGTGTGTGTGTGTGTGTGAGTGTGTGTGTGTGTGTGTGTGTGTGTGTGTGTGTGTGTGTGTGTGTACAAACTGCACTCACTATCCAGTTTTATTCAGACTAGTAAAGCTGGTTGTTGGTTGGCTGAAGAGAACGAGGCTCCGTCAGATGGAAGCCGCTGATTATTTCATGGTTTGTGGTGCAGTCAAATGAGTGCACGACAGCCCCGCATCAGTCCACTGGCTTCCAGTATACGCTGGGTATAGGATGGACGGCTGAGGGGGACAGATGACGAGCCGTAAGAACCCACGGAGGAAACGTTGCTCATGTTGGGGGGGGGGATATACATACATTTCAGCGTCTGATTGTGACGGTGAGAGTCATCTATAATTCAGAAGGATCGTGCACAATTTCACATTCCAGCAAAGAGGACGGGAGAGATGGAGTTTAATGTGTGAGGTGTTCTGGGGGGAAGTGGTGGAATGCACATGTACATTCACTCAAGTAGGCTACTGTCATTAAGCACAATTTTGACATACTCACACGCCACTTGAGTATTTCTATTCTCTGCCACTTTATCCTTCTACTCCATTACATTTATTTGACACTTTGACGCACTTAAATTAAACCCAATCTTCTCATAAACCAAGCAAGATGACGAAAAAAAGCATTGAGTCCTATATATACACACCATATAGTGGTTTTATTTAGAACCAGTTGCTCTGTATAATATGTTGTTTCCTGAATACATTTCAAATTAAACTACCGCATTAACAGCGGTTAAGTACAGTGTCGGATGCTTCGATTGGTTTGCTCAGTGAGGCAGATGCTCTCGCTCTTTCTTTCCTCCCTCCGTCCTCAGGAGAGGATGACAAGCAGAGGGAGGACAGAGCTGGAGCTCCATCTGACTCCCACTCTTTCAGAGGACCAGCCCCTCCCCTCCTCTCTCCTCTCTCCCTCTGACTGCGCCCAACTTCTCTCCCTCCATCCTTCCATTCGGCTACTGTACCCACCTCCTGACTGCACCCATCGCACACAAAACCTGATTTCCGAGGGCTTAGGATACCGCTTGGCGCCGGTGCTCTTCTGGGTTTGGACTATTCTGTGCTTGAAGAGTTCTTCTGCAGAGAAAAAAAAAAAAAAAATCGGTTTTTTTTTCTCAATTCAGCAGCAGCAGAAGAAGGACAGTCCGACCTCCGCATCCCCCGCAACATCCCTCCGCATCCCTGCATGGACCTCCAGAGGAGAGCACCGCGGACCGGGCGGCGCACGCAGGTTAAACAGGTTTCAAAGCGTCCTATCACCGGGAAAACAGAAGCTCCGGCATCGGTGTGTTTTATGGAGGTCTTAGCTGCATCAAATCTCGGTAAATGTCCACTGATTGTTACATTTTATTTTATTTTTTAATTCGAAAGCTGCGCCATTTATCCCGGCACCTTGCCGCTGAAAATGTACTGTTCGGTTTTTCCATAACATAGGCTATCTGCAAGGTTTATTCATTTCAATCAATATTTATTATTTTTTAGGCCTTGTGGTTTTTAAACCTCCACCAGCTCCTTTCATCTGCGCTAAATCTGCTCCTGCAGCAGCCGCAGTGTGCTGTCGTGCTCTGCGGAACTTATTATTTATCTCTTTCTGAAATATGAGCAAAAAGGCTGCATGCACACACATGATACAGACCAATTATATAAAATGCATCTGTAATGCAATATATATATATATACATATACATATATAATAGTAGTATTATGGTGTTTTAATTGTATAAAACATTACAGCCTTTGTATTTGTAAGTGTAATGCGTTGGGCCCACATACATATTTATTATGTTATAATTTGAGTAATTGAAGATATTCTGTGTTCGAGTATTGTAGAAATTTTGAACACAGGCTCTGACACACACGCCCGACCCCCACAAAGGCAGCCCCCCCCTCCCCCCCTGCCCCTCCCCCTCCCCTCCGCATTTTAGCCTACATGAGCTATCTGGGTCATTAGGATTTCAGCGGTTAACGAGGCTGCAGATGGGTCCTCTCCTCTGCCGGAGAGCCGTTGAGCAGCACAGATGCTGTTGCTGCTCCATCTACAGCGACCACATTGAAATAATAGAATTTAACAAAAAAGGCTGCATGGCATGATGTTTCTGGAGCTGACAGGGCTGTGTGCTCATGTGGGATGAGGAGTAGATATCGCAGCAGCAGCAGCTTCCTCCCCTGCAGCTGTGTCATTAATGCAGTGGTGCCTATAAGAACGTGCATTATGGCTGCTGCTGCTGGATAATGGAGGATAATGCTTTAATGGTCCGCAGTGCTGCTTAAAGGATCATACCGGTGGGTTGTTTTTTTTAATACCCCATAACACTTTGAATAATTTCCCTCTGCATGCTGCGTTATTTCTGATTTTTCTCCCCCCACCCATGCATGCTTTTCACACATTTCACTATGAAAATCACTTTGCAGAGACTTCAATCTGTCAATCCATCTCCGATGAACATTATCTCTGCTTTTACAAGAATACATCAACGAGGAGTCACCTGATCGAAGGGGTGACACAGAAAACGATAGATTAGAATTGTATTTTGCTGTTTTTCCTCTGCTCTCACCTCCTCGCTGCTCTGGGAATCCTTCCAATGCAGCAATCTGAGAAGAAAGAAAAACCCCAATTTGGTTGAATCACAGATCAACTTGAACCTGTGAAATGAGGTGAGAAGTGGACATTATTATTTCTTTTCAGGGAAAAAAGCCCCCCACCCAAAAAAAAAAGGGTCGAGAACCGTGGCCTTGAGTCTCTGCAAATTGATTTTCATACCAGAGTGAGAAATGAATGGAAACCAGAGTGTGGACGGTGCAAAAACACATTCATATGCATATTTTACACATGCAAAATGCTGGCGTTGCCCTTTTAAGTCATCATAGATAGCATGCATATTTAATCTTTATATAGTCAATAGAGCCGGTTGATATATATATTGTCAGTTCTGTCATTGTCTCGAATCTGTCCCAGCATGTAACCTGTTTTGTGGAGGTCAGCAGGACACCCATTGATGACATCTACAATCACACTCACACCTATAGACTGTTACAGCATCTAAAAGTCTGCTGAGCTGCTTGTCTGTCTTTGGTCTGCAGCAGAAGCATCTTAATACATAATGTACTCGTCAGTAGAATCACAATATGCAGTATAATCAGCATCAACGTCGTCTTAGATGTTATAGTCGGTGTACTTCTTTCATGTAGTCAGCATACATGATGTACATCTTTGGTAGGATTAATTAGTCTGTGTGCATTTTATGAGTACATAGTCATGATGAATAATCAGTGTGGTATTCATCACTTTAGCAAACATTCATGCAAAAATATAACCAATACACACATAACGCAGAAAACACAGGCTGTAAGAGTCCATAAGAAATATTCGAGCTTGATATAGTGACATTCATTTATTATGTTCTTCATAAGAAAATGCATTAAATAGGTTTGGAACATTTCCTCTTTTTTTTTTTTTGTTTTTTTTTTAACATAATCTATGTCCCTCTGTGCTTTTGATAGTAAACATAAATAAAGTATGCCATACATGACAACAACAACTTTGAGGTTGAGAAAACGGTTGTGAGGGATACAGAGAAGGAGAAAGAAGCGAACAAAGCCGAGCGAAGCTGAACATATAAAGGGATAAAGTAGGATTGAGCGGTGTTGGGAGAAAAGGGGGATTGAGTGGAATTGGTTGAAGGCAAAAAAATGAGTCAAACAGGACAAGGTGATGGGGGGGGGGGATTATGGGTCATCTCTCCTCGTGTTCACAGCGGACCTTGATTTAAATGTCCATACAATTAAGGCACGCGGTGAATGCCAAGAGAGTGGCCTGGAAATCAACACTGAACTCACTGAGCAGATAGTGCAAGACTGCCTCTGGTGCCCACATCGAAGACCCACCATTCTCAGCTGAAATATGAATAAAACCCCAGGAGCTTTTCCAACTCATCAACACATTTCTGGGCTGTTTTGTAACTCAGAATGCGCGTGATGCAGTACCGCTAGTGGCCACTAGACGGTGCTCGAAAAACTCCAAAAGATTCTCCTAAAAAAAGTCCCAGCTCCTCTCTTAAAAAAATATAGTGATATTTTTAGTGTATGTAAGAAATTTGGATCTTCACAGTACATATTTTTTTTAAAGTGTGTCTTGGAAATTTTGGGAATTATTTTATATTTAAGAAGATATTAAGATTAAGAGATATTTGTGTGCGCACATTTACCTTTAAGTAGCCGTGGAACACTTAAGTGCATTCACTGTGGTACTGTACTTAAGCACACTTTTGGTGTACTTGTACTTAAGTGAGTGTGTCCATTTTAAGCAGCTTTATACTTAAAATAAAGGAAATATTGTACTTTTTACTGCACTAAATTTATGTGGTAGCTTTAGTTACTTTTCGGATTAAAATGTTTACACAAAATTAAGTTGAAATTAGCTCCACCATTACCAGCTACAAAAATGAATAGTGATGTTACAATGATGATAATATTGATTATGAAACATTAGCATTACAATGATGGGGGACATAATGACATAATTTTACTTTTTTTATGCTAATACTTACACTTTTACTTAAGTAACGTTTTAAATTTAGTATTTTTACTGGTAACAGTATCTTTACGCTGTAATACTTCTAAATCCCATCACTGCAGACAGATACTGCACAGAGTGTAAACCCAAAGGAAAATTGCAATAGAAACTTCAGTAGAAACAGTACTGTGCTTGGTTGGCTGATGTCATAGCTAATACGTCCAGGAATATAGGACAAAAACTTTATGTACTATTCGTTTGTGATGTGAACAACTGTAGTGATCTCTACGGTTTGACATTTTTCTTATTGCACAATAGATTGCCTTTTACAATGAGGCAATCCAGGTGTCATACATGAATCTGGAACTCCATTAGTTACACAAAGCTACTTTTATTCTTATCACTAAGAAATATAAAATCTCTTATTCCCTGTCAAAGCATAAAATGTTGCTTCATTCACCATCGTTGTTCATGTTTCCGCTCGCTTGCATCTCACTTGCATCACCCTCCCCGGATCAGCCTCCCAAATCACAAGAAACCCTCTATTTGTAGTACTTCAAGAGGGGCCAGACTCACAGGACGGTCTGACACGCAGGTCGAGTGGACCTCATCGCTCCGATTCATTTCAGCGCTAAGATGCTAGATGTTAGATTAGCAGCAACACTGGAGCGCAGCTAGAGCTTTAAGGGTAACATAAACATCCTCACCATAGTTCAGTCGCATAAATATAACTTTAAGAAAAGCATGGACATAACACATTTTTAAAAAGTGAGGATTATGTACAAAACAATGTGTACAGTTTGAGTACAGATGATGATATTCATATTAACAGGTCTACAGGGGGCCTTATACGTAGAATAATGCACGTTTAATGTAGAAAATAACACATTCTTCTTCATTGCTTCAGTGCCAGTGAGATGATAAATTCACATGAATCATAATGCAGATGAAGCCAACCAATACTGAGAATAAGAATAAAAGAGTAGATCTAAACGCATAATTGGATTCAGAGGGATATTCTTCACCTTAATTTGTTGAAAAAAGAGTCATGAGTCCAGACGCCTCCTGAGATGATATTCATCACCTTCTTCCGAATACAATAACTGTACTTTAATACGTTCTCCTGTGATAGATGTCTCAGCATGTCTGCAGTAATGTGAGTGTGGATATAAAACACTCATCTGTGGGCTGACTTCAGTAAACGGTCTATTCTCAGCTGGAACAGTGTAGGTGAGTATGAGACATGGAGCCAGCAGCACAGCAGCAAATCTCCGGAGTTATCACTTACTAATGTGTTTTCCCCAAACACACAGGCTGTTCTATTGATTGCGGATGTACAGTACCTCTGCTGGGAAAGGAGGCGGCTGTATATATATATATATATATGTGTGTATATATGTACAACCACAAAGACAGGGCTTCATTTAGTTTTTTAGATTGTTTGAATTCCCAAAAAGATTTTTTGGGAATTTATAAATAAAGTAATGTTGTTGCTGTTTTTATGTTTGACTCAGATGCAATTATTTCCTTCTGTACTGACTTATTTCATTGTATTTGTACTGCACAAATAAACACAAATAGAATTTGAGTCTGAATCTTTTTTTTTTTCCCCGTAAAGTGTCTTAAAAACCTTCTGTCTATATTTTACATTTATTGGTCATCCCCATAAACCAGTGTGGACATTTAGTCTATTAACTTGATCAAATACGACCTTCCCGTCAGCCTCAGCTGTTTTCTTCTTTTTAGTGCCAATCAGCAGGTGTTAGCATGCTAACATGCTAAACTACGATGGTAAACATGCCAAAATGATACCTGGTAAACACCAGCATGTTAGCGTTTAGCTCAAAGTACAGTGTGACTGAACTGTGCAAAAAAAAAAGACAGAAAAGCTTTGTTTCACATGCTGTATAAATGATGTAATATTGTAATAAGTTAGTTAATAAAAAGACAACCCCCCCCGCCCCAAAAAAAGTTTTGTATATGTCCTAACTGGTATTCCTGTTTTTACTTCAATGGTATAGATAACTAAATTGTGGAAATTAAATAAATATCCTGAGTGCATAGATTAGTATTTTCAGGACAGGCTATGTAATTTGAGGAATAAATCAGTGATTTGAGGGAATGATTTATCATTACCTTTCTTACAGGGCTTGATGTAAAGAAATTAGACTTCAAATATCACTGAAAGTCACAATCTGGAAAATCTCCATTCAAATGAAATAATAATTTTAAGTGACTCTGTATTCACGAATGAGGTGACAGAAAGGTGATCGAGCCTATTGCCCACTGAAAGCCGTTGCATTTGCAGGATTACGAACTGGCGGTCTGTGGCGACATTACCGGTGCTCTCTGGGAAGTGAGATCTGAAAACACACACCTGCATTACCATTTATCGCCATAGGTGTCGCCAAAGAAAACGAAACAGACATCTTCGAGATTGCAGCTTTCAGTTTCTTGACGTACTAACAACTGCGTTACCATCTGAGCAAACACCACAAAATGAGCAAACGCGACACAATGAAAAGGGATTAAAACCTGCACTGGCAAAATGCTTGAAAACTATCTTTTATTTAACTTCAATAAACAAAATACATTCCATATCAAAGACACAATAAAGGCATTGCCAGAGATACCGCTTCTTAAGCACACACACAGAGAAAAAGCAGTCATTAAATAGTCCCTCTAACTGTCAGTCGAACATATCAAAGTATCGTAAACATCTGCTTGAAGCTATTTTGTTCAAATCTGACAGAAAAGCTTTGGCTTGTATTCAGCGATGCCATCCTGAGAGGAAGTCCTTCTGATGAGAGGAAAAGATACAGCCGAGTGGAGGAATGTGTTGTCATGGTGACGGCTCAGGATAAAGTGGACGGCGAAAATAAAGTGTGAGCGCAAGGAAGTGAGTGGGTTTGTGTGTCCTGTCCTCCTCGTAACGATGACGGGGGGAAAAAGAGCTCCGCTGTTCCCGAAAAACTATTAAAAACACATCAATGAGCCACACTGTTGCACTGGGTGACATGTTCCTTCATCACCATGAACACACACACTGTAGTTTATTGACTCATTCCAACATACACCGTCCTGCTGCCCCAAATACTCAACAAATGTGGATTAATCCGCCGCTGAAAATAGTCCCCAACAAATGCACGATTTCCTCTCGTTTGAAACGATTGTATTCTTCAGCGGGAACCAATGGGCTTGGAGCTGAGCGCCACAGACAGGAAATAAGGAAGTATTAATGGATCGAGGTCGTGTTCAGAGAAACATTTCAGCTAATGTGTGTGGGCTCATCGTCCTAAGCGCGAGTTAACATTGTCAGTTACAACATATCTCTCATATTAGAACATGTGGCTGATTTTAAGGCTGATTCTGGTCATTTTTTAAAAGATTTAAATTGCTTCACATGTGACTTAAATTCTACATCGGCACTTCCAGGTATGTAGTCTGAAACTACATACCTGGAAGTGCCGAGAAGTTTTTGAAACAGCATTATGACCGCCATATTTACAGAAAATATATATGAAAAGTTTAATAAATAAATATTTAGATGGTGGCTAGTCATTTTTTCTTCAAATAAGGGTTTGGTTTCTGGAGCAACGGAGAGGAGAAAGTTCTGGCAATCTTGCAGCAAAAATGGAAGAGTGTAACAGAACGAGAAATAGCAGTGTGTGTGTGTGTGTGTGTGTGTGTGTGTGTGTGTGTGTGTGTGTGTGTGTGTGTGTGTCACTGGAAGGAGAATCCAGACGCCGGCAGGCCGCCACACCACTGGCTGATGAACTTGAGGACGTCCTGACACTCTGAACTGTGAGTGGTCTGCATGGAGAAGATGGACACAAACAACAACCAATGACAAAACGGATTCAACACACGCCGCCACTGCTGCAGACGTGAGATTAGTCGACTCTGCTGATTCACATAAAATCGCTAATGTTGATAGAGATGATGAAACCCAGTGAAATGAGTTTTGTTAGTGAGACGTCAGACAACTCGGATTCCTTTTTCAAATCTTCTAAATATAATCAGGAAAATGTACTTAAAAGATCTAAAGTAGAGTCCCCTGTGACTGTTATACTGTCGTATATTATATCATTAGAGTACGATTACTCATGCCTTAATGCAAAAGCAGGAATTTACTATTGTAGTTGGTTGAGGTGGAGCTCACTTTGAACTATTAACGAATGATTATTTTTCATTATGGATAAATCTGCTGATTATTTTCTCCATTTATCGATTGTTTGGTTTGTGAAACTAGTGAGAGATGTCGTCACAATTACCCAGAGCCCAACGTGTCCCCTTCACAATGCTTGTTTAGTCCGACCAAAAAGCCCAAACATCAACATTAATAACACATTACAATTATTATAAGGAAATCTGCACATTTGAGAGGCGGGAAACATGAAATGTTTCGACATGAAATATAACTTGAACGATTACAAAATAGACTAATCGTTTCAGTTGTACTTGCGTATATGTAGTTTAATTTATACCGAAAACATCATATTCAACATTTGTAAATCAACTGAAGTTGTTAAATAATTTGTGGTGGAGTGAAAGCAGAGAGTCTCATGAAAAGAAAAGACTGTTAAGTACAAGTACCTCCAATTTAAGCACAGTATTTGAGTCAGCGGACTTGGTTACATTCCACGACCGGACTTTGTTTGTGTCTCACCTTTGTGGTCATGAGGAATTTGTTCCAGTCTTTCTTGACGGCTACTTTCCCCACGGACGAGAACTCCATCTTATCTCTCAGCACCGGGTAGCCTGGAGGAAGGAACAGCACAGAGTGAGGGACTATACTCTGTGCGCGCGTGTGTGTGTGTGTGTGTGTGTGTGTGTGTGTGTGTGTGTGTGTGTGCGTGTGTGTTACCGGTGAGGACACAGGGCAGAGAGCGGAGGCCGGTGTTGGCGGCCACCAGCGAGGCTTCATACGAGTTCCTCTCGTCACGAGGCAGAACCTGCTCCAACCGATTGTCCATGGAGACCATCAGCACCCAGTCACGGATCTGCTCCCGCTGGGCGTCCTGAAACACACACACACACACACACACACACACACACACACACACACACACACACACACAAACATTAATTAAACACGTAGTGTGAGATGAAAAAACATGTTTTTATGTTGAACAGTAGTTCAAAGTTATTAAAAATGATTAAACATGTATATAATAAGACCATAAAGTAAGATTTTTAAACTGAGAACAAACTTGGACTTGAAGAGGACTCTTTAACAGGAGTAATCAACGTTCCACAGGTGCACAGGCCGTTATGTCATAAGTATGTTATGTTTACTTACGTGTTTCGATTCATTTTAGAATAGAATATCGTTTCTCTCTTAAGTTTGTGCTCACAGACGTACAGCAGCTGATACTCATTTGGAGGAAAATGACTTCCATGCATGAATGTATGTTCTGTGTTACACTACGGGACGGGAGATGTAAATTATTGTTATCCACTCATAATAAAACAGCGTCCTGCATCATTTACGGCTGCCCAACAAGGTCATATTTTTGGGAATTTACACGACCCTTACATTCATGTCGAAAAATACGCTATAGAAGTGCAAGCTCCATTGATCACAATCTTTCCCCAGATCTGATTCATAACCATTTATCCGTCTGACCACAGCGTGTCCAGTGGGATGTCTCGGCGTGCGTTTGGTGGACGGATGTCTTACGGTGACACAGAGTTTGGTGGGAACTGGAACCTCGAAGGGAATGTCGGTGTCCAGGAAGTCGGAGTGGTCCAGAGCGTCCAGCGTCCCCTCGTCTACCGCCTGGAGACAGAAATGGTCCCAGTTAACACAGAAGCCTGATCCATGGTCACACTGTCTAATAACGTTGGGAAGGATTTGTCCTGCAGTTGAGCTGCGACTGTTTACTCACATCGCACAGATCCAGGAAGTGATTGAGGAAGATGAAGGCCATGTTCTCCCAGCCAACAGCCTGCCAGGTTAGAAAAAAGTGATGCAAAGTTAATCTGGTACACATGTTCATGCGTCAGTCAGAGGAATAAAGATATTTCATGTTATTCCTAGGTTTTCAAAACTGATCAGTCAGGTGGTGAATATATATTTTGCACCTTTGTGATGGGAAGTCGGGGAGTATTTTTAAGGGAATTTGCAGGATATCTGGGAATTTGACCAGTTTGTCCATTTATAGGATTGTAGCAGAGTGGATTTATTCATTTCAGCAGCGGTGAAATGCTCCACTACAATAAAAAGTCCTGCATTCAAAACCTTACCTCAGTAAAAGTATGGAAGCATTACGAGCAGAATGTACTTGATGTCAGATAAATTTGGTGGCGTAAAAAAGGACGTCTCTGTCATATAGCGGAGTAGAAGTATAAAGTTGCATTAAATGAAAATACTCAAGTAAAGTAAAAGTCCCTCAAACCTGTGCTCAAGTACATTACTTAAGGAAATGACAAACCAGGTAGGAGGAACATTTTCAGGCCGTGACCAACACTAGAACTGAACTGAAGAGAGCATTTAGCACAGAGCACAGAGACTTTATCCGAAAGTGGAAGGACTAGTGTTCCTCTCTCATCGGTGGACTCACCCTGCAGGCCAGGCCGGCTTCGTAGAAAGCCTTGTCTGCAGGAACGAGCTCAGTGTGACGCAGCAGAGACACGGACAGCTTGGCTGGAAGACTGACCTGCAGAGGGAGAGAAGCTTTTGTTTTCAAAATCAGCACTGAAACAAGTCAGCTGTCAAACAGCGGAGGAAGAAAGTAGAGAGTTAAGCTCTGGTTTAAAAACCGATAAAGCATCTTTCAGAGGTTTAAGCTTGTTTTGGAACGGTACAACATATTGGAATTTCGTTGTTTAAAATTTTTTTATAAAAGACATTCGTAGACAAAGACTGCCAATATTATAAATATGCACCAGTTGGTTTTGAACCCTGAACACGCACAAGACGACGAACACAAGAAAAACATCCAACAACACGACAAAAAAAAACATTCAAGATGGAAAGCAGACTATTACGATCAAATGTGGTCGTGCAGTCGTGAATTTAACTCCAATTTAGGCCCAAAATCTATTACTTAAAATAAATAAAGCCTTCTGTGGTTCGCGTACCAGCTGCGCGACTCCTTTGGTGGCAGATCGCGTGGCGTAGTAGTGAGCGATCAGCAGCATCTGCTCAAAGTCTTCATGAGCTGGAGAGTTGGCCTCGGCCGACCGGGACATGTTCTCACACTGAAATCACACACACACACACACACACACACACACACACACACACACAACACAGGCATCACAAAAAGGGAGATTACAGTAAAAGGAACAGTTGTGGAAAAATCAGGAAATTCACATCACGGAATTTGGAGGGAAGTTATTTTCATTCTGTTGTCATTTACCAGCTGCAGGAGGAAATTGCGGAGGTCGGCCCACATCCGGTAAGACTCCGGTCCATCAGTGTCGGGGAGGTTAATCAGGTCCAGGAACAGGCGCTTGTAGATGTTAAAGTTCTGGGAGTAGGAAAAACTAAAGTTGTTGGTGGGACCTTCCATTGATGCTTTTTGCTTGTATCATAAGATAAGTATACAGGAAACCAGAGATGCCTGACATTTGATGTTGAGGCCGTAGCTCTAATAAAGAAGTCAAAGTCTGAAAAGGAAGACTTTGTGTGTAAACACAGTAAACTGGCAGCATTGACTGAGGCTTATGTTTCGCGAGAGAAACCCTCAAGGTGTGTTTCCAGAACATCACTGAATCCAGGTGTTAAGATATTCAGGCTGCAAAACAGGAAGTGTGAGAAAAACATACCTAATGAGGTATGTTTTTCTCACATAGCTCATTAGGAGCCCTCTATCGGAGCTACGTGTGCGTGTACTGTACCTGAGGGTTGGGTGGCGCTCCGTGCTGTACGTAGAGCTGCAGAGCCTTCGGAGCATCCGCCTCCTTGATGAGGTGTGTAGCGTACAGAGCAACGTACTTATGGAGGATCTTAAAGTTCTGACAAAATGACAGGGATGATGAGGAACACTGGCTACTACTGTTGATGTTGTTGTGTGTTTTTCTTTTATTCACGGACAACTTTACATACATCCAGTTTAACTACTTAATGGAAGGTTTGGTTACAGTGAGCATTTCTTTATTTTAACTAAATGCAACATCTGTAATGTAAACCTTTAAGAGTCAGGTAGATTGTGCATTCAGTACCTGTTTAGATGCCGTCTCCAGACATTTCTCCCACTGGCCTCTCTCTGCATACATGTCCAGAGCTGCCATGACATCCACGCCCACCAGCTATGAGACACACCAAACACAAACAATTTAAAATAATCAACACACACAACACACTTTTCTGTTCTTTTAAACATATTTCAGATTGGTTCGTTTCCTGTGCAATATGATGAGCGAGTAAAGAATGTCTTCTATTTTGCTGACAGCGGATTTTGTCCCAATCAGGCCCAAACTTACAGCATTAAAGTGATAATGCGGCAATACTTCCTCAACAAAATCGTACTCGTTGGATCCGGTGTGTAACAGAGTGTGTAGTCGTACGTACAGAGTCAACTTTGCCTTGGTTCTTAAGGTGCTCCTTGTATTTCTGGTCCACATAGTCCTCGTATCTGCCAAAGAGATCAGGGGAATGAGATACAGGGTAAAGACATTCCAGTTATTCTCAGCCGGAGACAATTTCCACGTATTTTTAGGAGGTGGGTTTTTTAAGACGATCGTTTAAGCGAGGTGGTATCACATTGAAAATACACACACAAGTGTGCTTGTGAAGAAATATGCTTTATACAAGTATGTAGAAGAAGTACTCTGAGATATTGATCTTAAAGTGGCAATACACACGTTTTGTCGCTTTAACTTCTCATCATGTAGGACACGATTGCACGATGTAGTGGCTATAGAATAATGACACCATTTAGATTGGTTCCCTGCACTCGCTATAATCACTTTGCAATTCTGTCTGCCTCCAGGTTGGGATCTCCTGGGAGAATGAAAGCTCCACTCGTGACACAAAGGAAGTGCGTCAACCATTGCGCACTTTTGTTTCCTTATTTAACAAATGCAGTGGAGTCAAAAGTACAATATCTGCCTCTGAAATGTGGTGGAGTAGAAGTATAAAGTAGGAGAACATGTAAATACTACTTGAGTTAATGTACTTGGTTACTTTTACACCATTGATGTACTGTACGTGTCTGTGTCTTTAAACCTGGGCTCCAGCTCCTTGGCGACTCTCTTGGCTTTGTTCCACTCCTCGCCCTCAATGAAGACATCGATCGCCTCTTTGATGAGGTTCATGTTTAGGTAGAGCTCAGCAGCCTTGAGCACGAGAACGCCAACACAACAGGAGAGAAATTGGGCAAATTGAAAACACTAAAAGCTGAAACTGACTCATCCGAACGAGATAAGGCGTGATTGCGCGTTCACTCACAGCGTTGTACTTCCTCAGCTGTGTGAGTCGTGGCCCGACCACCTGGATCACCTCCACCGCTCGATCGCCGTTGAGGAACTTGATGGACAACTCTGCCGCCTGGATACACACACACACACACACACACACACACACACACAAACGCATAAAACACACACTTGTAGGACACAAAAATGGCCTTTGTTGACCAGAGTATGTCTAGGTATGTAGATTAATATCAGTATTTCAAAAGTATAAATCCAAACGCAAAAGAAATATTCATTCTAACCTGAGGTACTCTGTCTCTCTGCATCTGCCTAATATTGTGGGGTTATAAGATGTCAAGACGACTATAAACATAATCAAATGTAAAATGTGCATCATGTATCATCTGTAAAAACTACTACATTAACACTGCATCATTTGTCAATAAGTAGTATAATTACCACGAAAAAAGAAAAAAAGATATCCAACTCTGATTGGTATTAAAAGTACTAATTTCTCAGCATGCGTCTTAAAAAGGCTTTGCAGTACAACGGTAGAAACATGTAAAATGACAAGAAGCCGTTATTGTAATATATCTGATAGAGCTGATATTTTTACGAACGATTAATCCCTCATTTGTGTTTTTAGATGAATCAATCCACTGAACATTTGCGTCTGTACGTAAAGACAATTTTCATTTTCTACAGCTTGACTTATTACTTTTTTTTTCTGAAGTGGTGACCAGAAGGCGACTTCAAAGCTCTTGTTTTGCACAATCAACGGTCCAAAAACCCAAACATTTTAAATTTAAAATAATAAAAAAACAAATGAGAAAAGCTGGAACTGGCGAATGTTTGTAATTTTGGTTTGGTTAAACAACATTCATAAAAAAATAAAATCTAATCTTCATATTCAGTCTTTCCACAGGAAGCCACATATTGATTGTGTTGACCCCAAACCTCAAACCCCACCGGGACACCAAACACACACCGAGCACACGCCATCTTTGTTTCCTTTACTCACACTGGTTAACCAAACTCCATGAGGAGAAAAAAAAAAAAACTATTGACCTATGAGACCCATGACCTTCTTTTCAATATTCTGATACCCATAGCACTCTAGTCAATAACAAGGGAATCTATTGATCGTTGGTGACACGGTGGCCTTTTCACCTTCCACAACCATCATGTTAGCTCCCATAATGCATCTCTCCTATCATCCATCTGCTACTATGTTGAATATGAGAGCAGCTAATAGTTGAAATTAAAATGCTCAGATGCTTCTGTTGTGGACACATTTTTGTTTTTCGTTTTTTGTAGTCCTCATTTTATTCTGAGGCAACCAAAAATGTAATAATACAAGTTACATTCTCAGATTAGATGTAGCAGTCATTATAAACATGGAGAAGTTGACTGCACACAGCAGAAAGAGTACAGCAGTGTTGAGCATAGTGTGGCGATATATACCGTGTCAAATATTTTAGAGAAAGACTTCCTGTATTGTTTTCTATAATTAAGACTCATTCGTTTTCTTTTTTCTATAAGACTTCTATGGAACTGTGGTTTAATTTTCAATATCTTTAAATCGGAGCTGCAGGGAATAATTATTTAATTTTCAATATTTCTTTATGTTCAATCAATGAATCATTGAGGCAATATATTGTCAAAACATTATGAAAAATGTCACAATTTCCCATTTTCAGATTGCATTTTTTTGTCTGACCAACAGTCTAAATATATGCAGTTAACAATATATTATAAAACAGAGGAAATAGCATCAAATAATCCAGATAATGGTTGATAAAGTGTGCGTGATAAATAACCTAAACCGATGCTGCACAACATTTCTGGCTTGTGGCCCTTTAAATTGAAATTAAATTTGTCCGTAGATAATATCATTTTCAGTGGTTTATATATTTTTCTCTTGTGCTGTCAATTATTTGACGACCCCACCGATTTACCTTCAGGTTTGGAACCACTGTCTTAAACTATTAATCGATTCTCAAAGTATATACCGATTAATGCTCAGCCCTATACTGTATATGCCAGTAAAGGGAACTGTATTTGTGCTGACTGGACCTTTTACCTTCATCCAGCTCTTCTCCATCAGGGCAGTGTTGGCGTCGTCCTTCACCTTCAGATAACACTCCACGGCCCGGGAGTGTTCACCTGACTGCTCCCACTCCCTGGCCTGTTCCAGCAGGCCCTCCACTCCCCTGAACCAAACAAACAAACACACAGAGTCACAAACGAATGCATTCCATTTGAGGTTCATTTTTCGAGATTCAAATTAACGCCAAATAAGCAACGATGCATTATTAAACATATTAGAATCTCCGAATGATAGACTCTTGATATTTGGGCCAATTAGCGACAAAAAAGGCCTCTTGCTTTGACTTAAAGTAATAATCTTGAATATTTTTATACATCACAGAATGAGGTAACAAAGAAGTCATTAAGCCTAAGGCTATCGCTGCTCTGTCACTTTTCGACCCGCCCTCCCGAACCCGTGAAATTTTCTACCTAAGCTTACCTGAAAACGCACCTTCAATTACAACTTATGGCTATCGGTGCCGCCCAGGAGAACGAAACGGGGCCCTCACAGATTGTAACATTAAATTTCACTGCTCTGATATTTGCGCACAGCGAAACAGAGAATCACCTTTTCCGTGATTTGAGTCCAACTCGCAAGAAATTAAGAAAGACAAAGGAAAACAGAAGATGATGATGATGATGAATGAAACATTAAAATGTTAAAAATTGTTTTTAAGTAGCAGGATTATTTCAATGTACGCTGTTTGCGTGCCACGAACATTCGATACCTCTCAGATCGATCAGGTCTACAACCTCAATGTTTCCCGACAAGAAACAGGGTCTTTTTAGCGTTCCCGCTGTAGCTATAAGGCAGAATATTTGTTATTTAACAGAACACTCTTTCAAAGAGGGCAGACTCACAGAAATAATATCCACAGTTCACCCTTTTGAATCATGAAGGATATCTATCCCCCCCCCCTTGTTTCTTGTTCGTCATCTCTCTCTTTTTCTCGGCCTTATTACATTTCTTATAAAAGGCGTCAAACTACAATTTGATCATGGTTTGCAGATGCCTGTGAAGCCTTGCACTTATCTGGAGCCCGAGCTGTAAACTCTGCAGCAATAATTCAGTGTTTTCTCACTTCCTCGCTCGTTTCCATTGGTAACTTTTGATGTTTCCTCCCACAAGTCATTAAAGAGGGAGAAGCGACGGGAGGAGGACGAGAGCTGCGCGCTGCTGGTCCGCTGGCTAACGAGCTTTTCCTCGTTGGTAGTCCCGATGTGGGATAATACATGAGCTGTGTTTTAATAAAGCATCAAACTGACTCTTTGTGCATAGATTATACTATGGGGGGAGCCTGTGCAATGTTCATAGTGGGGTTTGTGGTTTCCCTCTGGCTTTTAAGAGGTTTCTTACTAACATAACGACATGAAAGGTCAACAAAATCTAATTTAAGCTCCTGAAATAGTGTCCTACAAATACTAAACCACCTATCTATAATTACAAGTCCTGTTAACAAGGCTTTTGGTATCTGCTGTTGCTAATGTTGTAACTATAACTACAGATATAGCTTCAGTGATTTTTTTATTGTTTCTTGCAGTTTTTGGCTCCCTGGACTACGAGGAAGTAAATGACAATGAGGCCCATTGATTTCTTATGTGTTTTGCTCTAAATCTCACCGGATTCCCTTCTTGGAGGTCTCCTGCTCGTACTCCTCTTGGAGCATGGAGAGCTTGTTGGGGAGATACTCCTTACAGATCCGCATGGCATCACTCCACAAGTCCGCACCCTGATAAACCAACGACAAATATGGAATGAATAAAAGAATAACTGACCAAAAGCTGGATGGTTAAAGTCTATGAGTAAGAAATTCTATTTCTTTACAACATTTTACAACTCTTTTTTTAATTTTTTTTTATTCTGAAGCCAGCTACCTTGTAATATTTAACAGCGAGTTCGGGTCTCTGGGCTCGGAGCAGGAAGGCTTCAGCCTTCTGGAAATCTTTCTGTTCAAAGCAGAACTTGGCTTGGCCGACCAGGATCTCAGAAACAGTCTCTGGATCGTGGCCCTCAGCCACCCGCTGCGCACTGGCCCAGTCCTTGTTGTGGACATACCTGGAGCAGTTCACATGCACAAACACGGCAAAATATATAAATATATATATAT